CCCCAGCACGGAGTGGGCTGTCTCATGTGTGTTATTCCTTTCATACAAGTATACTATGGCTTTTACAGTCCCCTCTATGTGGCTCGAGCCACAGCTTATTCCGATTTTAAATGCACTATTTATTAGTTCATGTTGAGTACTGTATATACATTTTGCTTTCTGAACTAACATGATTACTAAAGTCTTGCTCTGTTTTCTCAGCAACCACTTGGGGGTGGAGCTGTGATCAAGTTATACTTACTCATCATTGAAATAGTTGAGAGTTCTCAAAACTCAGAAGACACCTCTTAGAGCAAAGCTGAAGGATGTAGGCAATCTAAATGCGCTGACATTTCAGGTAGAGAAACACAATGCTCTAAGTTTTTAAGGGAAAAAACTAGCTGTAGCTCATGAAGTATATCCTTGTTGCAGTCTAACAATTTACAAGGCAAGTCTACCAAAATACCTGAGTTCAAACAGCAATTCCGGCACTTTTGGCCTTAACAACCATGTCCTTCCATGTTGGAGGCTGAGGCAAAAGTAAAATACAGTACTGATCCTGCCTCTATTCAAAATTATGATAGTTTGTTCATCATGGACTTTTTACGTTAATTTTGTTTTTTAAAAACCCGGCATTATAACATTAATTACCGAGTTCTTGGCACACACTTACATTTTATACCAAGTGGGTGCCCACTCACTTTAGTCTTGCCTTGCTTAATAAATCACCTCTCTGAACTTCAATTACCTCATCTGAAGTAATAATAATAATTAGAAGGATTACTGTGAGGACTGAATGAGACGGCATGTGTAAGTACTTGTTCATTGTAAGTAGCGATGTATAAACACATTTACAAAGCTTATGTAACTCTAAAACAAAGCTATTACATTACATATTATATTTAAAGACACCAAGTTTATGGCAAGTGTAGGTCTTATGATTGACGACAGAAATTAAATCAGATGCCTTAGAGGTATACGCAGAATTTGACACACTCATCTCTACCAAATCTGATCTAAATAAAGAAAAAGGTATACAATCACAGCCAAGCTATCAACTTCCTTTTCCGGTTTCATAATTAATCTTCATTTGCAAATTGTATGTCCTTGGATTTTTCTGTTTAGTTTCTAAAACATTCCATTCAATCAAAGTGAAAAATTAATTTAGGGAGGAACTCTTCAATGCTTTCGAACTACAGCTCAGAGAACACAGGTAAGTGTATATAAATACGAGAACTGCTTCTGAAAAAGTTAAAGATGTAAACCTTTTAATTCAAAGTAGGGGGATCTTTCTGGGGCAAAAGAAGGTGAGATGCCTCCTGTTCTTGTGAACTAATAATTGTTCCCAAGCTGGTTAGAATGCAGTGCTAATTGCATTTTTAAAACACCACCTCTGAACTCCTCTCCTCTCGGGATCTTACATCAATGTTGCGCATTTTCATTGAAACCTTTGCACTTCACCTTCCTCACTCAGCAATTCCTGAACTTCAGATACACAGGAAGCACTCGGTTCAGATCCCTCCTGCTCTCCCCAGCAGGTCCGATCTGGTGGCAGTTTGCTGCTGATGTCCCGAAAAGGCTGAGCTGCCCTGTTGCTGAGGGGAGATGTTCAAATCAGTGGTTGGGCAGCTCAGCTCAGGACCGTCCATTCTAACAGAGTCATTAAACAACTTTCCAGTGCCATTCAAAGAACTTATAACAGAATCAATTGATTTTCATCCATGCTTTCTATTAGTTGTGACTTAGGAGAGAGAAGAGCCCTGTTTACACAGCTGTAACATGTCAAGACCTGTAGTACATTATTGGCTTGAGGCCTCCGAGTGGCGGTCCATTCTCAGCAGAATCAATCTGAGCTTGAAAACATTCCCTCTAGGAAACATGCACATATCTACCAGCATAAAGCCCTTCTTGTACAACTGAAAATGCTATTCACTGGAGGGAAGTCCGAGTCCACCTTCTAAAAATTGGCCCTGACTTGTTGCTGCTCTCAGCACGCTCACACTGGGAGTGGAGAGCTACAGATGCCTCTTCACTAAGTAGCCTACACGGCTGGATGTGCGATGCTGCCCTTCTTGGATCTCACGTTCGGCAAGCGGGAGTTGCTGGCTGTTTAACATGCGTTCAGAGCATTGCCAATCTAAAATGGCTGCTCAGTAATACTTTAATTGCAGTTTCATGGAAACAAATTGCTATTTAACTGCAATAAGCATTTCTGTGACTTGGCTGGACTGACAATAGGTGAGTCTTAGTAACAAAGCGACAAGTAACAGGAACTTACAAATGAGTCTATTCCCAATGGCCTCTTGAACTGAGTGATAAGCACAAAAATCACCCACGATTGTTCTCCCCTGGGAAGGAGCCATCTTTGGAAACCCCCTTCTTCATTTAAAAACAATCATTTAGGCTACATGGAAACTCTTCACTAGGCTCTTGTTATACAGCTCTCAAATTCCAATGTTTGTTATATAATTTAACGGTCCTAAGAAATTATTTTATATAAATAGTATTTCACATAGAATCTTGTAATATTGACATTTAAAGTTGTTATAGATTTAAGAGCTTCATTTTAGATGATTAGTTGTTTCAAATATCAATGTCAATAAGCGCAAAAGAAGGAATTTAAATAGTTAATATTAAGAGGGTGACAATTTTTCAGGCTTCATTGTGGTGTGATAATTTTCTCATGTTGTATTTGTAAGGCACTACAATCTGTGTTAAAACTATTCCCAAATAAATCATGAAGAGCCGCAAACAGTTTCTGTGGCAAACAATTTGGTTTAGAAAGGCTTTGGGCTCCTCTGCATTGCAGGGTATGTAAATCTCACCAGTTAGATAGGTAAAAAAGCCTTAAGCCCTTTTAGAGGACAATCTTTTTACAAAATTGTTTCATTAGTAAGAGTGACAATTTGCATGACTGAGACATTTATATGTATCATAAACATACTTTTTTATCAGGACTACACAAGGCTCAGTAAGATTTGCTTTTATTTTCTTTAATTGCACTCGCTTGTAGGGACTGGGGGCCATCTTGCTCCATGATGTGGTTCATACTAAATTAAGTCCTTTCAGAAGGGCGATGAACATCTCACTAGTAACATCACAAATGCAATGGATAAAAGGTGCGTGAGCTTGGAGTTTTGTTTTGTTTTTTTCCTAAACAATGTTGGGGATGGGGGAGGAACTAAACAATTGCTGCTCACATCAGAATAAACTTGAGTGTTTTTAGTCGCTTTCTATCCACACAGAGCATCCCCATTAGAGCGGGTTTTATTGTTTGAAATGCCTCTGGTTTCTAGAAAGTGTTTTACCTAAAGCAAGCTACTACTTAAATATGTTCTATTGTATATTCATAGCTCCATTAGTCCTTCTCCAATTTAGCACATCAAAGAGAAGGCTTCATCACTTGCATGTGGATTATACTAACATGAGTGACATTTGTAATCTTATAGGTCTGCAACTTAAGAAATGCTTTTAGAAGCTCTGTATTAAATACACAGCACTGCTTGAGGAACCAGCCACATAATAGTTCATTTAAAGTCTGTAATGACCTTCATCCTCCACATCACTAAATGCCACACTGTATCATTTATTAAAAGTTATTAACCACCTCTTTTGAATAGAGACACAAGTCCTTAGGTCAAAAAGAATTAGCAGATCTTAAAATCTGATTGATACACGCCCCCCCTTTACCACCCAGATGAGTCCAAGATCCTTTAGAAGGTATCTTAAAAGAAGACAGTATCTATCCATCTATATAGATATCTCTCAGTGTAGACACAGATATACAGACAAGTTTGGAGACATTCCCCAAGGATCTAAGTCAAAACAGATACTGTTACATATGTGATTTTCTTCATTTTACTTTTTTCTCTTTGCATTTTCGTTTTGTAAATTTCTGACAGAACGATTCACTTTATCATTGCACCTTTAAATTCTACTGCAGGGTTTGTAGTTTGAGAAACTGATTTTTACTCGTGGCCTGCAATCTCTCTGAAAACAGGAAGTGAGCACAGAAGTTCTCAAAGGGAAGCTGTTTGGCTGAGATGTGCTGAGCCACATACATCTCTCCATATGACCTACTCCTGTTCTCTTAGAAAAAGGATCTGTACGAGGAGCTGCTCTAGATCAAAATACAATAAAACACCACTTTAAAAAGCAGAGTAGAAGCATCAGTGTAGACACGCCTGGGATAGAAGCTGCAGCTGAGAGCTGCTCACATGCAAGGAGCCTGGTGCAGCCCCAGCATCCAGGCCGGTTTCATTTTTTCCTCCTTCTGGCCCACGGAGACCTGGGACTATGCGTTCCCTCAAGGCACTCTGCAGGCCATACGGATGCTGCTTCAGGACTCTGCTGCCTGGGACTAGCAACTGTCCCAAGAACACCATTAGGTGAAACTGGAATCATTCCCCAACATACAGAAAAGCAGTCAGTACTGGGAGTGTAAGAATGAGACAAAACAAACAAATGTTACGGGACATGAGTCTAAATGCTCACCAGAAAATGGCTGCTTTACCTGTCGAAGGTGGAAGATCACCATACAGAGCTTGTAGCCCTACTACACTGGAGCTCCAGCTGCACACAGGTATGGTTTAGAAACACTATTTCCTTCCAAAGCTATAAACCTGACAAGTAAACAAGATGGCTGTGCCAGTCTTTAGTATACCCTTCATCAATACTCAAGGATTTCCTGAGAAAAAAAGAATAAACAAATAGCTCCAGAATCCATCAAGTATTTATGTACAAACACCAAAGATTCACTGTGATATAAGAATATTCTGAACTTATAAAAAGGTTTCTGTTAGAACATTGCTTGGTATCCCTGCCAAACATGGCAGTAATCTAAAAATATTTTATTATTTTTAAATTATTATTTTTATTTATTATTATTACTCAATGGCCCATAGCTAAAAAAATATAGATACCACCTCCCTCACCCCTCAGATTTAAAGCCTTGTTATGGAACAAAATCCTAAATTTTTTCTGAAATAAAGAGAAAAAGCACTGCTTAAACCCAAACTCCATTGAGTATTTTTTCTTTTAAGTTTTTATTATTTAAATACACCATACTAGAGCAAATGTCTCTGAAAATATCACAAATAAAAGATTTTTTTTCTTCATTCAGCAAATTAGAAGTAGGGGGAAATTTCTACACAGTAGCTGCTATGAGCCTGATTTTTTTTTTCTTTTCCTTTTCTTTCTTTCTTTCTTTCTTTCATTTTTTTTTTTTTTTTAATCTTTGCCATGGGAATAGCAACATTTAGGACAAAAACACTTACATGCATACATACATTGTATTTTACAGAGATACAATAAAAGTGTTTGTGATAGAATATCACAAAAGCCACATCTCTTTCCTTTATCTCATGTTCAGTTTTGATTGAAACACATTTCCTTACAACACTTAAATATACAAAGAGCAAATAGAATGTTGTTAAGGTAAAACACAGGGTACAAACTCTGGCCAGTGCCCTGCTAATTGTTAATGAGGGTAGAAAGCAGATTTGAATGCTTTTAATTAGCTTCATTAGTCATTTCCCTCCCCCTAAGCTCCCTCCCCCCCCAAAGATGTCCTCTGGTGGATCTTTTTTCATTTTCTCTACAGTCTCCCATTAGCCCAGGTTCATGGAGTCCTTAATGTTCATATTCAGTCATTTTAATACACCAATAAATGCGAGAAGGGCAATCAAGACTAAAGAAGGTGCAATGGCATGGAGCTGGCACTGGTGCTAGCTACAAAGGTGACTTGTCTACTGAAGACACATGGGATCCACCTGTGATGAACAAAATCTGAGATGAAGGCACGCATTCTGCATTACTCTGACCTTTTAGCAGACCTGCAAGAAATAAAAACGGGCATCTTAGCTAAAATGCTAAATTTGAGAGATATTAAACTCAAACATGACTGCTTTTGTCTTCTCCACATTCACTAATCTTCTTTTATTAGATTACTTCCCAACTGTGACTTGATGGAGGCTTTCTACGCTACTTACTCCGGCAGTGAAGAACTAAAGCAGAACATTTTCTGCAGTTTTACTAGCAGAGAAAATGAGACCGTAAATGGACTTTCAGAAAGTTTCTGGTGTAAAATTCTACAACAAATTGCTTAACTGTTAAAACAAGTTTTTCTCCAAAAGGAATGAATTACACCTCTTACCTCTTAGCTGGAGCCTGAAATTTTTAACTTGGGTTGGGGGGGGGATCATTCAGAACACAGTCTTCACCAAGTTAAGTTCTGGGTTAATGTGCTCAAGTGTGTAACTTAAACTGCCTGAGTCTATTTCCTCATCTTTGACGTAGGGACAAGGTGACTCTTATGATGATTACTTAACATATAACAGGAGAACTTTCAACAGTACCTGCCCCTTAATGAAAGCTGAACAAATATTGTCAGTATCATTATTATCCTGCTATACCCGTGTGATGTCGTCTCTCCATCCATGTTGGTCTTTTCCTGTAGGGGTGTGTGTGTGCGGCATGTGTGTCTGAGTGTGTGTGTACAAAAAATTGTATGTCCACATATTCCAGGATTAATCCACTGAATATTTCCTATTTCACTTAATGTTATATAAACACCACAAACACAGTATATGAATACATGGAATGTGTTAATGACTGATAAAGAACATAGTTCAACACAAGTCTAACTTCAACATCGGAAGTCAGACACCAATCCACACACTTGTCAGCTAGAATCTGTTTGCAATTACCAAAATGAAATAATATATATTAGGGTTTTATAGTTTTTAAACGACATTTTGAGCTTCCCAGGAAGTTCTCGTCTTACCCTTTCTCTAACTTACTAAAAGCCTGAAGTCTATTAGGAACTGCAACCCCCCACTTCCAAGCTAATTAAAGTGGTGGATGCTTAATTCCCCAGAGTGGAAGCTCAGTGTGAGAAAGGTAATTTGTCTGTCCAGAACAAAGATGCGGCAGCAGCCAGCAAGCATATTTAATAAATGAGCATCAAATGTCCTCCACGATGGACACACACAACACTAATTATGTAACTATGTGGGATATGTAACTATGCAACGTGATATATAAACTGGAAGTTTCGCTAAATTTTCCTCAGACTAAAGAGATACACTGAATAACACGGATAATTCTCGATTGCCCCATCATACTTTTGAATGGAAGGGAGGATTCCAGAGCAGGCAGCAATCTACAAAGGAAAAAATTAGCCATGATTCCTGATTTTTGAAACATTCTACAAAGCAACATCCCCTTTTAAATGATACCAGCTATAAAATTTTGTAGATGTCTTGTCCAAACACCAGTGGTCTCAGATTTCAGTCACTCCGTAATCTGAGATTGTAATCATTCTATGATTGAAAAGCTTAAAATTATTTTTCCTCAAAATATACAGAAGCCAATGATGCAGAACAATGTCTGAACTATACACCTCTAATACTGAAACAAATATCAGGAGAATGAGTGCTTAACAGGACCAGATGATGGGGGGTTACACTTTCCATACAATTAACTGCCTTTAAAGGGACACACAAATAATCAACTCATTATTTTTAAGACAGAGGATGCCTGGGTATATTTACTATGCACCATGCTCTAAAAATGTAATTGGTTCTGTGACTAGAAGGAAAATGGTCAAAATAAATGTCCAATTTTCCCCACCAAAAATATGGAGAACGAGAGAACAGAAAATAATAAAATGGAGCTATCTGTCATTTTCTCCCCATTTCATCTCCAGAAAAGAAACGCCATGGGGTTTTGGAAGAATAATTTAAAAACATTCTCCAAGTCCAAAAAGCAGTTTATGCTCCACCAGGAAGTGTGCTTTCATTAACTTTTTTCCACCCCTTCTCATTAATACCTCTCTGGACCCCATTCAGCTTGCCCCCAAACCTTTACTTACAAAAACCACCTTGTGAATTGACTGTGCTCATGGAGAGCTGAGCACTAAGGGCAAAAACGTGAGACATTTATGCATGTTCTTAATTAACAGCACCCCCAAAACACAGCTTCTCACCAATGTCTGACAAGAACATTTCCTTAAGCCGTATTTCCTTATGCCTTTTAAGGGCCATCAATTTTTGAAGGCCACCTGTCTCTGTCTTTGGCTTCCAATATTAAGAAACATACACTAGTTGGTTCTTATTTATGGTCTAAACTACATTTAATGTTTCAAAATGAACAGCCTACCATACCCATCCTAAACAGAAAACTATGAAAGACACAATACACATAATATCTTAAACACACTAGATTTTTCTCCAGTTTTCCTTCCTAACCACACCTCTACTTTTATATCACCTTGTACTCAGGGAGAGAGTACTGAGACCTGTTCGTATCTCTTAAGAGTCCTCTGCACTTAGTCCCTTGCTAACACTGCTGTTGCCTGGATTCAGTGCCTCTATTCAGCACATCCGCCATTTCTCCTCTCACCACGCTTCAACTCTCACAGTGCACGCTGGTGAGCTGCGGCTACCATTTTGTATACTTTGCTAAGTCAGGAAAGAAAGGTATAAAACCAGTATCCTAGCAAGAAAAGACATAACTCAGGTAGGGGAGGGCGGGGGTTAGGCTTTTACATTTAAAAAAAAAGGAGGGATGGCGGGGAAGAGGTCCACCATTTTATTCCTAGCACTTTTGTTGAGTTTTGCTACCAAGTAGAACTGCAAATGGCTTTGCCTCTATTTCCAAATGCTATCTCAAATCACGTGTATCACCTATTTACTGTTCTCAACGCCATACTGTTGATTCACCTCATTAAAATCCGAACCGTAAAACTCTATAAGCATTTATATGCATTGGCACTGCTAAAAGAAGCTTGAATCATCAGAGACCGACTGGTTAATTTGCAATAAAAAATAAGATTCTTATTCTTAAGATAGTTCTTCTAGGTGACGTCCCATATAATAAATTAAATAGAACTGCACATGGTTCCATATAATTAACACTTACTAAATAAAGAATACATTTAAAATTACTCCATAAACCTGAGCAAGGGAAAGAATGTGTATGAGCATTAAAATATAACGGGATAATTTTAAATGCTTAAAAAGTTTTCAAATGTCATTTTCCCCCTGCACAGCAAGGAAAAAAAACATGCATTCCAGAAGACAAAGGAGTCTAATATTTTTCCTGAGCCTTCTGAAGCTTGCTAAATTCCTATTTGCAGATAAATGTTGTTTTTTTGTGATCCTTACAACAGACATTAATGAAGTTCCTATTGTAAATCCATAAAGAATTACCAAGTGAAGTGTGCACTTTTTGTTTCAATGCAATAACTCAGTGCTGTGTGATTGCCTGGGTTAATGATGAAAAAGTCAAACATACTATCAGAGCTGATGGAAAAATCTATCACCAATCTGAAATTAAAATTCATCTGTGGTCAATAAGATTTAATATCCATGCAAGTGGCGCTGTAAAGAGTAAATGAATCAATGTCATCAATACATAATCAGTATGAAATATGATGTGAATAAAATTATGCACACGAGTCATACATTTCACTCTTTTCTGGGCCAGTGTGGAATGAACAGTCTCTTAACTGAAGGTTGACAGTAATTGTTACAAATTAGGCACAGCAGTTATCAAAATGCACTCACTTGCATAGCTATAGGACTTATTAAGGAGATTAAAATAGATCTAAAACTATCCAGTACTGGGGGTGCTGGACAACTGTTGATCACCAATTTTCCCTCTCTAGTGCCTTCTAATACTACATGATTTGTATACTGGTATAATTTCCTCATTTCTAATTCTAAATCTAAGAACTTTCAAGTTGTGGATCAAGAATCAAGATACTGGGCCGGGGATTTAGCTCAGTGGTTTGGTGGCCTGCCTCACAAGCCCAAGGACCTGAGTTCAATCCCCAGTACCAAAAAAAAAAAAAAAAAAAA